ACTATCCAACAATTATCCCCACACCCCCGAGCGAGGTTTCTCACTCCCCCCTTACCTAGATAAGCGGAGTTGAAACTTGGGCAGAGCCTCCTCCTCTAGATTCCCTCTTCCTTTCTCTCTCTCTTTCTTTCTCTTTCTCTCTCTCTCTCTCTCTCTTCCTCTTTCTCTCTCTAAGATTTCACTTCTCACTCCAGTATAAAATTTTCACCCCCCCTTGGCCCTATTTATAGGCAACCTGGAGTACCCGGAACAGCCCGTATTGAATTCGGAACGGCCCGTTCCGGATCCTTCGAATCTGTGCAAATTTCTCAACTGGAACGGCCCGTTCCAAAATCGGAACGGCCCGTTCCCAATCCAGCAGAACGACCCGTTTTGCTTTCAGAACGGTCCGTTCTCCAAACTAGAACGACCCGTTCTCCAATTGGAACGACCCGTTCTTCCTCCAGAACGGCCCGTTCCAAGCCCGTACTGCTACTACGCATTCTCCTCATTTCTAATGCTCGGAACGGCCCGTTCCACTTTCGGAACAGCCCGTTCCGAGTTACCTAAATGCCCCAATAACTTTAACAGAATTACGAAAATGCCATAAATTAAAATAATAAAAAAAAATATTGGGTGTTACAATTATGATATTTGAAGGATTAAAATTATTCAATTAAAAATTAAAAGACTAAAATCACACAATTGCAATCTTTCAGGGACTAAAATTACTTAATTAAAACTTTAAAGATCAAAATTGCACAATTGCAATACTTAAGGGATAAAAATGCAATTAAGCCTATATATATATATATATATATATATATATATAAAGTCAAGAGGACCGATCCCTAGCCTAATAATGAATAGATTTATCCTGATTCTTGTCCAAAAAAGAAGAATAAAAAAATTAGTGATACAATTATAATAACTCATGCAACATTATTTACGTATTTATCTTTTATCGTCATATCATTTATTACAGTTAAAAAAATAGTTATAAATTGTTGTATTAATTAAAAATGATATTTGTGCAACAACTCGTACATCAATTAGTATAACTAAGAGAAAAATTGTAATGTGATTAATAAATGATACTATATGAAGAAGAATGGATGTAAAAAGTGAAATTATAAACATTGTTGTATGATATTATTAAGCTTAAATAAATGTAGTACTTTTTTCATTTCATAACAAATATCATCTTGTCCTAAAAGAAAAAAAAAAAAACAAATATCGTCCTCTTCTAAAAAAGAAAGCAAATATCATCCTATTTTTTATATTAGAAAAATATTGTAATAAATGTCATGAAAGAGAATAATAAATTTAAAAAATTAAATTTATTATATGGAAATGATGTAATACAACTAAAAAATATTATTTGAAGTATAAATGAAAAAAAATTGTTCAAAAGTTAAAATAACAATTCTATTTTTTTTCTTACAAGAAACTTATTACGGAAAGAGCACAAAAATAATAACCTAAAATTTATAATATTCCTCACAAAATATTATATTGGTATTTAAATAAACAATATTTAATCAAAAAATTTATCAAAACATTTTGACAAAATTCAATTCACCTCTTTCCACCAGTTAACAGATTATCATCCAGATCAGAAAGTTAAATCATATAACTCGTCAACGTATTTTTATAAAGGATGGTGATACTGTCATTTCTTTCTTATGAAAAACAGAGATATTATTTATTTATTTATATAGTTTTGGTTAGAGAGTTTGGTTGCGAAAACTGCTTAATTTAGTGTTGACATTGCTTGGAGTGCCAAATATGGGTGTTTTGGTGACCTAAATCACTTGTGTTAGGACATCTTCAATTTAGTTCACTGGGTTTCTGATTTGTAACCTAAATGTATCCATTATATACTTTACCAAAAAATAAGAACCTTATTTCACCAACCATAATGATGCATTAAATACTTTTATCAACAATGAGGAGTTATTAAAAAAAAATTAGTCGCTTGTTTAATTTGCTGGTTTGTTCTCTACTGCTCATTAACCCCATGATAACCTGCTTCAAATAAATCCTAAACATTAAATAAGTTACAATTGAATAAACAAGATAAGATCATCAAGCTTGACTTTAGTCCTGAATCATGAATTGACTTTACTTGAATAAGGAATAGAATAGGGTATTATATGATAGTTTGTATCAAAAGCATGAGCCCCACATATATATTATCATCAATATTCATCATATCCCATTCTCACCTAACTATAATCACTTTGTATTTTGTTTGGTGAAAGTAAAGGAAAATTATACAAAAAAAAAAAACTAATATAGCAAGGGTGAAGTGTTTTCTATAATTATTAATGAAGGAAATTTGCTGTTTTGGTGTGTATATTTTGTAGACTATTTTACTTTTAACTGATATTTACAACTATTCAACTATTAATTGTAAAACTAGCTAGGGACAAAACTTAAGTATAATATCATAATTATAGTTAGTGTTTACATTTAATCAAAATTAATGTTTCACCTAAGAAATATGTATTTATATTTAATGCTGACTTTAGTAATATACATTTATGCATATTAATTATGTAAATAAAATTTTAATTTTGATAGGAAAATAATATCAGCTATATCTATAATACTATATATAAATTACACACTCATTTTATCATTTTTTGTATTGTTATCTATTTTACTTGTTAAAATAACAGCAAGACTCATTTTCTACTAAAATAGTTTGGATTAGAACTTAAAAAGTTGTATTTTTCATATGAATTTTCTATTTTAAAATCTATAACATGTAGCCGTTGTAGTTGAAGTGGTGCGTGATGATATTGTTTTACGCTTATTGTTGCTACTCTAACTCAAAGATGTTGAAAGGGTTTGGTAAGGTGGTTAAGAATAGTTACTATAAGCTTCCACATGCATCATATTATGCACCAGATCCATTTTCTTCCCTTTCTCAAAATTTAATAAGCTTGTATGATTACCAACAACTTCTAGAAAATGATTACTTATAATAAGAACAATTTGACATCCAAAAGCTTCTTGTTAAAAAATAATCCAACGAGAGGCTTTGACAAAAGAAAAAGGGAGGGTTTATTGAACCAACCTACTTCCATAACCATGATGATTTTTAGTTAGCACTTTACAGAAATGCCCCTCGTGTTATTCGCAGACACGGGTTGACATAAAAAAAAAATTGATTTGAAATGCTAACATAAAGAATAATCACTAGAGCACATGTTTGGGAGAATTATTTTTCAAGAAACAATCATGTTTTTCTTTTAAAGTTGTTTTGTGAATTTGATAAAAAGTAATTAATTATTTCTCTAAAGCTAAGTTAAAATTAACAAACATTGAAGCATAAACTAATTAATTATTTTACTATTTTTTCATTTTCATTTATATATTAAGAAAGACTTTTTCCTTTTTCTTTCTTCACTTTTTTTTTCATTCTTTTTATGTATATTGGATAATTTGATACAGTATTTTACGAGTATTGTAAAAGAAATATAATAAAAGGTGATATAGTAGACGTTTTTTCAAATTTTAACTTCAAATTTGATGGGAAAACTTTTTTTTTAATCAAATCAGAGATCGTAAGATTAATCGTAAACCTGCCTTCATAAATAATAGTAATTTCTTGGCGATAGTGTTCAACCATGTCGACGATTCCAGCGTGAAGTCTAGGCAACAGAACGCAATCTTTTGAGAATTTTTGTTTTTTTTTACAAGTGTCTTTTTAAAATTATTTCTTGAATTAATTTTTTTTTTTAGTTTTTAGACAACAAAAAACAAATAAGGTAAATCATTTTCTCTCTTTTTTTTTATATAAAGATAAATAACTAGATTTTATTTTTGATCATTCATCTTATTTTTTAAATTCATTTTAATTATTTATCTTTTTAAAATGTTTATTTTGGTTATTTATTTTCTAAATTTAGGTCAATTCAATGTTTTAAAATTTTTGAACCGATTCTAAACTTGAAATTTGTTTCATAAAATTCACTTATATAAAATTTATTTAATGCAATTGAAATTCAAATAAAATGTGTTAAAAATACAATGAAAATAAAATTTTTTAAAAACCATAATTTCTTATTATTTTTTAATTATTTAAAAATATATTTTTCACATAATCTTTACTATATTTATAGTCTTTTTTAGATACAAACATTAATTGTATTTCATAACTTTTATATGGGTGAATTTAATATTATGAGTTTCATATCTTGAATCAATCAAAAATTGATTTAAAATTATGTTACAAAATAAAAAATAATTATCATTTTGAAAGGATCAAATTGATCAAAATATAAAAATAAAGGATCAAAATAAATATTTTAATATATATAAAGGATCAAAATGAAAAAAGTAAGATAAAGGAATAAAAATATAATTTAACCAATATAAACTATTTTTATTTGTTATAGAATATGAGTAGCATTAATAATAATTAAGTAAAATGTGTATCCACTATTTTTATCAACACATTAATTAATTAAATAGAAATAATTAGTTGAAAAAAGAAAATGTCGAGTTTAAATAATTTTAGAAGATCAGTACAAATTGTTCACGAAATTAATGTCACTGAATTAATTAATTATTCCGAATTACTGTGTGTGAGAGATCGAAAATATTGGTTATGTATTTTACTTATTAATTTGTGGCTAGTAATATTCCTTGACCTTACAAAGAGAGAAAACGAGTACATTTTATTAATTTACAATATTTATTGTTTATTGACTAAAACTTTGTAAAGTAATTAGTATTATAATTTTATAATACTACATGAAATAATTTATAAAAGGATTATAAGAATAAAAATCCATATTACTAATATGAATTTAATTAAAACATTATTTTAACGTAAAAAATATATATAAATTTAATCACAAATTGTTGTATAGAACAAATTTTATTATTTTTCATAACAACTAAAAACAATTAATTTTTGACTGATGAACATTATTATAATGAACGTCAATCACCTATTAATAAAAAGTTTCTCTAGCTGAAAAAGCATATAAGAAAACAATTTTTTTCTCCACTCCCCGACACGCAAGTTATTTTAGTTGAGTTGCAGGTTGGAAGTTGGAGTTTAAAAACCCTCTCTCCCTCTTACATTCCAAAACGAGTCACCAGATTCAACATCATACTATAATCTTTTCTCTGTTCCTCTCATGGCTTCTCTTCATCGAGATGATGCTGAAGTTGCTTTTGAAGAAGGAATGCTCTGTTTACCCTCCCATGTTCTTGACGAGGCATGTGATCACTCCAAGGTTAGTTAATACTTAGTAACATAGTAATAACATCATATTTTTCCTTCTTTATTTATTCATGTCCATCATTTTGCTTCTTCTCATGTATATAGTTTCTCTAGCTAGGTATTCCAAATATGCAACTGGGTCGCTTCATTATAATCAGAGATTAACATATAGTTGTGCTGATTAGTGTTATATTTTTTAAGTCATATGTTTGATTGAATTGATATAGTGCATGTGCATTTGGCTTCACAGATTGGATTTTCCTATTTTAGGTAATTTGATTAATATTTAATAGTAACATAATCTACGGTAATTTGAGTTTTGAATTGGTTTTACATGTTGGAATTTTCTACCGGTGAATATGAAGAACCACCACCAAAGACAGAAGCAACAAGGCTACCACAGGGACCCACAGTTTCAGGTACTGTTCTCAGCATTTTATACATTCATTTGATCACTCTCTGCCTCTGGTTAATTGTGGCTGCTGGAGAGACAGCAAGGTGCAATGTTTGCGTAGAAGTTTTGGTAGGTATCATATAATAAAGGAATAGGTATCATATGATAAAGGAATAAAAGATATATCCTTTTAGTTAGGTTTAGGTAGTAATCAGGCTGTAGTTTTAATAATATGTGCTTTAAAGATTTGAGATGTAGGTATTCCAAAGATGGGTTAGGCACTTTAGATGCAACTGAAATTACTGATTAAAAATGGAATTGAAATAGCTTTATTTAATCAAGAATCGTCATCAGGTTCTGTACACGTGTCTGTCTATGAATTGAGTTAGCATCATATGTGGATTTTAATTAATTAACTACTTTTTAATTAATCATATTATTAATTCAAAATATTTACTAGTTTTGTCATATAATTAATTTTTGTAAAAGAAAATTGACCTGATTAATAAATTTTTAATTTTATTATTTTAAATCACAAAACTCAAATTGAGATCTTGTTTGTACTAACTACTTTTGTTGTATTAATTGGCTACTTTAGCATAAGGAGATCATCAAGCTACTTTAGGCGTTAGTGGGAACAGAAAATATGCTTTTACAGTTCCATTTCTTTTGCACACAGATTTCTTTTGAAGCAAAAAGGGTCTTTAGTGTTGCATGCTGCAGATATTCCAGGAATTTTACCTTTTTTTAAAGTTTTTTCCTTGTACTTTCGGTAACATTAATTATTCTTGAGCTGAAACCAAAAGGCCAAAAATAAAGGAGTTCCTAATTTAATTGAATGGTTGATAACCTAATGGCGTGGCTCAAAATTCGTCTCCCTCTAACATGACTCAAACAATAAAAAAGTAGGCTAACGTGCAAGCTGAAAATTGTCTCAATCTAGCTTTAGTCTGATTTTATTTTAAAAATTGAAAAGTTGCACGTAATATATTAAACAAACCTACTTAAGTAGATAGCTTTAGTGGCTTATCAGAAAAGTTCTGAAGCATGCAGTATGAAACTAGACATGTCATGACGCATGCCTAGTTGGTCACATGCATGCATATTAATCCTGCAGGCTGCAGTGACATATTAGTAGTTAATTGTTTATGACTTTGAACTTTATTTGTGAAATAGTCATACCTGCTTATTCACCATTTCATATATCCAATTTTTTGTTTTATTAAAATTAAAATACATATTGTGATTAATTTCAGTACTCAAAATCTATTCCATGGGCAAGATCATCATCATATCAAAGGTCGAAACATGCGACAGGTGGGCCTGGGATGCAAGCTGTTTTCTTAGTCTCTGGGCAAGGATCATGTGGCACTGGAGTTTTCTTACCCCAAAAAGCAGCCACAAAATCAACTAGGAAGCCAGGTTTACACCTTGTATTAATTTCTTTCCTCGCAATGAGGTGTATCACTTTTTCATTATAAAAAAGAATGTGCTATATATAAATCTTTTTGATGCAAGTAGAAGTGCTTTTTGAGATATTCTTAACTAAATATAAAGAGTTATTTTAGCAGAGAAACTGTGAAAAACATTTATAAGTTTGTATAACCCTTTCAAATTTTCCTTACATATGTTGCTAGCTGTAGCTTATATGATTAACAATGTTTTGCAGCGTGCGCTCCTGTCCTCCTTCCAGCTCGAGTTGTTCAAGCTCTAAATCTTAAAGTGCATCAATTAGGCCTGCAGATTTCACCTTCTCAAGGTCTCCTATTTAAGAAATAATGTGCTACTATATTATATCATATTAAAATATTTAAATTACATATGTGCATACCCTACATATATAAAAGGAAAGTTGGATGATCTTATTATTGCAGGTCCCAAATGTAGCCCACGACGTGGAGAAGAAGCATACAGTGGTGAGTCAGAGAAAAAGAAAAACGATGAGAAAGATGGGATGAAGCAATGCAGTGTTATTAGTCAGAGTCAAAGCTCTTCTGCTGAGATATTTCTTCCAAAGGAATGGACGTATTAGCTTGCTAACTTGTGTGTCTCCTTAGAAGAAAACAAAAAAGGAACTAGCGCGGGAATATCAAGTGTATATGCATGTAGTAAGTTAGCTAGAGATAATTTCATCATAAAAGCCGGTTGTTAAATTATTTGTGCTGATGGACCCTGACCATGTAATTTTATTAAATAAATAAAAGCACTAAAGTTCCGGTTCTATATATTGCACACTCCGATGTATATATACACGGGAAGCATAAATGATAGTAGGTCTTGATATGAGTTATGAGAAAGATTAAATAATAGTTTTTAAATTATATATAAAAATAATTTAAAATTCAAATTCAATTATAAGTTTTATTTTTATGAGATAATGAGATTATTATTGTTTTTGTTGTGATTATAATTATTATTAATACTTATCATTATAGCAATCATCATCATTTTATTACTGTAAATATCAATATTAATGTCATAACCACAATAATTGTGATAACGCGACAACAATAATAATTGTAACATATATAATGATAACAACTAAAGTTCTTAAATAAATATAATTCAATAGATCGACCTAACTAACTCATTAATATGGTTAAATTAAGTTTAACTTAACAAGTCAAATGAATTTAGGTTAGACCACTAGTGCAAAAAGACGCTTTTACGTCACCTAAATGACGTCGGAACAAGGCACCACCGACGTTATAAAAATGCGGTGGCAGAATGGTAAATAATGGGAATTAATTTACGTCGGGCAAAGGGGGGGTCTGACGTAAATTAGCCCATTAACGTCGGAACTCTCACTGTCCGACGTAAATTTACGTCGGACCCCCCCTAATCCGACGTAAATTTACGTCGCACCACCCTAACCCGACGTAAATATGCCCCTAAAATCATGCACCTTTCATTTTTCATTCCCGCGCTCCCTGTTTACGGAAACTAATAATCCCTTTTCTCTCATTCTCCCGACGTAAATATGCCCCTAAAATCATGCACCTTTCATTTTTCATTCCCGCGCTCCCTGTTTACGGAAACTAATAATCCCTTTTCTCTCATTCTCTAAGTCTCCCAGTGCGTTTGTTTCTATATTGGATGTTTGTAACTCTCTAAGTGTCTGCACATTACACGTTTGAGGTTAGTTTCTTGTCTACGCAAATTTTTGATTTATTTTCTACTATTTGTTCATCTGGAACGGCCCGTTCTGGTTGCAGAACGACTCGTTCTGCTTAAATTTTTTGTATTGTGAATTGTTGATCTGGAACGGCCCGTTCTGATTTTAGTATGGGCTGTTCCAGATGCATTAAAGATGGAATTTTTTAGGCATTGAGCTTTAGTTTATCATTGTATTAATAGAAATATTTATGGATTTATCCAAAATTACTATCGATTTTTTAGGTTTGTAGTTTAGGTTAGAAAAATTATGAATAACTGAGTCAATAGTTAATTTGTGTTAATATATAGATAATGAATCGAAGTTGGATGAATGCAAGTCGCATTAGTCAAGAGTACAGAAATGGAGTTGAAGAGTTCTTGGAATTTGCAAGAGAAAATGGGAAACCCATCAAAGGGGCATATTATTGTCCATGTGTTCGTTGTTTGAATCAGATACGTCAAGAAGTTGGAGAAATACGTGATCACCTGTTTATATATGGTATTGTGAAGAGTTATACAGTATGGACATGGCACGGAGAAATATTAGACATTCCAACAGTGTCAACAACTGAAAATTTTGAAGGGATGGACGATAACTTAGAAGAGATGATACGTGATGTTGGTGAAGAAAATTTTGAAAGAGCACATGTGTATGATACCTTAAAGTCTGATTTTGAGCAACCATTGTACCCAGGATGCAGTATGTTTACAAGATTATCAGCAACTTTAAAATTGTTTAGTTTAAAAGCAAGAAATGGTTGGACTGATAAAAGTTTCACAGAATTGTTGGAGTTATTGAAGGAGATGCTTCCAGAAGATAACACGTTACCTAATCGCAACTATGAGGCAAAAAAGATACTATGTCCAATGGGTTTGGAGTATAAGAAGATACACGCGTGCCCTAATGATTGCATATTATATACAAATGATTTTGCTACACTGAAAGTGTGTCCCACATGTGGATTGTCGCGGTTCAAAAAGAAAACTGATGGAAGTAATGGTGAGGAAGAAATAGAGGGTCCCCCTGCTAAGGTCTTATGGTATTTGCCAATAATACCTAGGTTTAAAAGATTGTTTGCCATTAAAGAAGATGCAAAAAACCTCACATGGCATGAAAATGGTAGAAAATGTGACAACTTTCTTCGACATCCAGCTGATTCTCCGCAATGGAAGAGGATTGATGAAACATTTCCAGAATTTGGTGCAGAGTCAAGAAACTTGAGAATTGGTTTAGCTACAGATGGCATGAATCCTTATGGGAACTTAAGTAGTAAACACAGTTCATGGCCAGTTTTGTTGGTCATTTATAATTTGCCTCCTTGGCTATGCATGAAGAGAAAATATATTATGTTGTCTATGATGATATCAGGTCCCCGACAACCAGGAAATGACATAGATGTGTATCTTAGTCCATTGATTGATGACTTGAAAATGTTGTGGGACACAGGAGTGGAGGTCTTTGATGCATATCGTGAAGAAAAATTTACCATGCGTGCAATGTTATTTTGCACAATAAATGATTTTCCAGCATATGGTAACTTGAGTGGGTATAGTGTGAAGGGTCATTATGCATGTCCTATATGTGAAGAAAACACAAGTTATACCCAATTGAAACATGGGCAAAAGACTGCGTACACTAGGCATCGTAAGTTTCTTGTTCGTAGTCATCCATACCGTAGATTGAAGAAAGCATTCAATGGATGTCAGGAGGATGAAATTGCCTCGACACCGCGCAATGGTGAAGAAGTATATCAGCGGGTGAAGAACATTAACATTGTGTTCGGAAAGACGCAAAAGAAGTCAACTGAGAAAAATATCTGGAAGAAACGATCAATATTCTTTAATCTTCCTTATTGGTGCAAGCTAAATGTTAGACACTGCATATATGTGATGCATGTGGAGAAAAATGTCTGTGATAGTGTAATTGGGACATTGCTAAACATCAAAGGAAAGACTAAAGATGAAGTGAAAGCACGACAAGATTTGGTGGACATGGGTATACGTTCTGAGTTACATCCTCAGTCTATTGGAAGACGCACTTACTTGCCTCCAGCTTGTCATACTTTATCAAAAAAAGAAGAAAAAAAACTTTTGTGAGTGCTTACGCAGTGTGAAAGCTCCACAAGGGTACTCCTCAAATGTTAAGAATTTGGTGTCTATGCAAGATTTGAAGTTAATTGGTTTAAAGTCTCACGATTGTCATGTCTTAATGCAACAACTTTTGCCTGTGGCTATTCGTAACATTTTACCATCTTCTGTTAGAGTTGCTATTACTCGATTGTGTTTATTCTTCAATGTCATTTGCAACAAAGTAATTGACCCTGTAAAGTTAGATGAGTTAGAAAATGAAGCAATCACAATCTTGTGTCAATTGGAAATGTATTTTCCACCTTCATTTTTTGATATCATGGTGCATTTGATAGTTCATTTGGTTAGGGAGATTCGATTGTGTGGCCC